GTTGTAGCTGGTAAAGGTGGAGCTATTTCAACGTTTATATACAGTTTTAGTCGAATCAGGGCCCTTAAAAAGGATCACTGAATAAATCTGAGATGATAAATGTGGTGAGGGGGGAAAAAGCTCTGTATCCAGTTTTGGACTTTTCTTTAATCTTTGCTTTTTTGTGAAATATTGGATCATTTTGGCCCTCAGATGAAACCATGTGACATAGGGGACACCTGAAACATGACAAGTATTTGTTTATCTATAAGGCTCTCATGGAAAAGGTTGTCCTCTGGACCGTATCAAACATTATCTTATGACTACTATCACTGAGTTCCTCCAGTTCATACTAGTGTTTAATTCTTATGCTCCTGCTACCTGGAGTGGAATTCTTTACAAAGCACCCGAAGGATCAATACTCCTGTATCCCTTATTGGTGAATTTAAATCCATGAGTAAAAATTATTCCTCTGTTTGCTGCTGTTTTACTTAAATTGTTATATATCTTGTATGAACTGTGCTTTTATAGTTGCTTTAATTACTGTTATCTTTTTTTTCATCAGTGTTTTAATTAACTGTACTCTTATATTTTAATTGGTGTTTGTGTAGTGTATATTAGAAAATCCCTGCTTTGGGACAAAAATGATCACTTAATATAAAAAATAAAACCTCTTTGATCTCAGTGAATTGACAATAATCTGAATATATTGTGAAGTTGCTGCCGATGCTCCTCCTTTAGTGTTGGTACGGTTTTTACCACAGATCACAGTAACCCCTGCCAGAACTAAACATTTAATATGAACTCCGTGACGTGAAATAACACGTTCATGCTCCTCCAGTCATATGGGAATGAATATCACCGCAGAGACACAGATCTATACAGCATGTGTCTTTATTGATCTAATTATGAGAAATTATACATCGGAACCACAGGTTAGAGCTGGAAGAAAAAAAAAAAAACTGTGATATAACCTTGTTTAATATTGTTTTATCTCCAAGCTCCCAAAGCACATGTTCATTTAAATACAGTCAAACACAACACACGGCAGCCAACAATGCCGTAATGGACAGAAGAGCTGACGGGAGGAAGTGGATAATGGTTTGGTGCAGATCTGCTTCACGAGAACTTCCTGTGGGGTCACGCTGGCGTCAACCTTTGTGGAGGAAACAGACAACGTTGATGACAAACAGGAACAAAACAGAATGCATACGTGTGATTGAGACAGTGAAGAGGGAGAGAAAACATGGCCGACAGAAAGACTTGCCTCTGTAGTGAACTATAGAACAGGCTATTCATAAACGTCCTTCTTGTCTGCGATATATTGTACAATTTCCTCAGGACTCATCAACTTCTCTGCTTCTGCGTCAGGGATCTCAAAGCCTGCAGGAGAAACACACAGAATACAACATCCTTTAATTTAACACACAGACTGCAGCCATCCGTCTACCTGGTCCCACGAACGCCACCGAAAGATATTCAGTTTGCAATGAAAAAGAAACCAGCAAGCCCTTTTCATTTGAGAAGCTGTACCAGAGAATTGTTGGCACTTTTAAAAATAATGGTTTAAAGGATTTATCAATTCATCTAATTCAATTTCTGTCAATCGACTCATCAATACATCAACTAATCCTTGCAGCTCTATTCTCATACTTTTACCTGGAAAACGCATCGTCACAAAGCTGAACACGGACCAGTTTGTACTACTACTAAACTGTACTAAATGTGTATTCACATTACACACACACACAACAAGCTTTTAAGATAAAAAAAAATAAATTAAGCACTTTTCAAGTACTAAACCAAACACTCTGAACCTCCAAAACATACAAATTAAGCATTTTCCAAACGTATAAGACTCTAAACGAACCCATAGTATTATACATTTGATCATGTTAGCCTAAAAATGCACTCATACAGTGAATAAACACACAAATCTGCACTCATTTATAACGGCCTTTCACTTCTGCACCAAATCAGAGCTGTTTAACCTAATTAATTAATACCATTTCTTCTTTGCTGGCCTGATGGCTGGGTCCTCACTTTGGAATAGTTTTCCATGCTGTGCACCCTATGACTACACACACAAACACACAGAGGTTGACGTGCCGGCAGACCAAACTCACCAAACTCATCCTCCATGGCCATGATGATCTCCACCTGGTCCAAGCTGTCCAGACCCAGGTCTTTCATGAAGTGAGAGGATGTCTGCAGCTGTGGAGCAGAACGTAACACGGGCATTACAAATGTCACACACACACACACACAATCGTGATCAGAATAGAAATCATAAATCATTCAAAAAGGCGTCTCGTTTACATGATCCCAGGAAAGAAAGAAACAAATCACTTGTGTGGATGTTAACGTGCTCTCTGACAGACCAAACCAAGTCTAGCAGACCATCATTGACAAAATGAGTGATTCTGGCTAGTTGTAACCTAGTAAAAATCCTTCAGATAAACAAACAAACAAAAACATTAACACACATAAGCTGTCATGTAAACCGACAACCCTTTCATCCTTCACTGACAGTTCTTCAGCTAGCTGGCGGTCCGCTCACCTTCTCGGGGTTGATCTTGTCGTAGAGCTTGAGGACATACATGACACGATCTCTGATGACCTCTAGGGTGAAGGGGGGCAAGTCTCCATACTGTCGGCAAAACACGCCCACTGAGGGGACCTGCGGAGGAGGAAGAGGAGGATGAAGG